TTTGGTCCCTAGTTTGGTGACGAAGTCCCGGAACCCGTGGTCGGTGAACTGGGTACCGTTGTCGGTCACCAGGGCCTGCGGAATTCCGAATCTGGCGAGAACGTTTCTTTTGTAGAAACGGAGGATATTGTGTGAGGTGATTTTTGCGAGTGCCTCGGCCTCGATCCACTTCGTGAAGTAATCCACGGCGACGATTAGAAATTTATTCTGGTAGGTTCCCTGCACGAAGGGCCCGAGGATGTCCATGCCCCACCAGGCGAACGGCCATGGGGACGACAATGTATTCAGCTCGTGCGGGGGGGCGAGGTGCATATCCCCGTGCTTCTGGCACTTGTCACATTTTTTCACGTGTTCCTTGGCGTCCTGTTGCATCGTCGGCCAGTAGTATCCTGCTCGGAGGGCTTTCCTTGCCAAGGATTTACCGCCCATGTGCTGGGCGTTGATACCTTCGTGTATCTCCCGCAGTACGTCGGGGACGGCGGACTCGTCGATGCATTTCAGGAGGGGAATGGAGAATCCTCTTCGGTACAGTTTCTGCTCGAGAACAACATAGGAACATGCTCGTCGCTTGATAGTGGCAGCTTCGGCCTGGTTCGACGGGAGTTCTCCCTTTGTTAGGAAATTATAAACCGGGGTCATCCAAGACGTGGCATCCCCGATGGCGTGGACCTCGACCGTAGTCGAGGGTGGTTCGATACTCGGACGTGCCAGAGATTCCTGGATGACGGATTTATTCCCGCCCTTCTTTCGTGTGCTCGCGAGTTTGGACAATATGTCCGCCCTCGTGTTTTGCTCGCGGGGAACAAGAGAAATTTCTGCACGTACGAACTTTGCCATGTGTTTTTTGACCAAGTTCAAGTACTCAATGAGGTTGTCATTTTTGGCCTGGTAGCTTCCCTGTACTTGGGAAGCGACGAGCTGGGAGTCGGTGTAAATTTGAACTTCGCGGGCTCCTAGGTCCTCGGCTAATCTCAGTCCTGCGAGCAGGGCTTCGTATTCTGCCTGGTTATTTGACGTCGGGAAGGAGAGAACCAAGGAGTGCTCGATTACCACACCTTCTTCGTTTTCCAGGAGGATCCCTGCGCCGCTTCCGGACGAGCTGGAGGCTCCGTCGACGAAGATGGTCCACTTGTGTTCCTTCCCCGGGGGAATGTCGTTAGTGGTCATCTCCGCGACGAAGTCGGCCAAGGCTTGTGCTTTCAGGGCCTTCCTGCTCTCGTACTGAATGTCGAATTCGGAGAGTTCCAAGGACCACTTCAGCATTCTGCCCGCCATATCTGGCCGACCCAGGAGTTGCCTCACCGGCTGATCGGTTCGCACGATGATGGTATGCGCTAGAAAGTAGTGTCTGAGCCTCCTCGCAGCGTTGACGAGGGCCAGAGCAACCTTTTCTATCTGTTGATACCTGCTCTCGGGGCCTTGTAAGGCTTTGCTCGTGAAGTAGACAGGTTTCTGCCCGTCGGGGGTCTCGCGGACAAGAGCTGCGCTGATGGCTTCGTTTGAAACTGCCAAGTATAGGTATAGTGGTTCATCCTCATCTGGTCGAGACAACACGGGCGGTTGAGACAGGCTTTGCTTCAGATGGCGGAGTGCGTGCTCGCATTCCTCGTTCCATTCGAAGGCTGCTTCCTTTCGAAGGAGCTTGAAGAAGGGAAGTGTGTGCTGAGCGGACTTCGCGACGAAGCGGGATAGTGACGTCAACATGCCGTTCATGATTTGTATCGACTTCTTCGACGTTGGTGTCGGGAGGTCGGAGAACTCCCGATACTTGTCGGGGTTGGCCTCAATCCCTCGTTCTGTTAGATAGAATCCGAGGAATTTTCCTGCCTTGACCCCGAACGTGCACTTCTCTGGGTTGAACCTCATTTTGCACTGTCTTGCTTGGGCGAAGACTGTCTTGAGGTGGGCTGCGTGGTCGGTGTCTGCTCGGGATTTGACGATCATATCGTCCATATATACCTCGAGCATGTCGCCAATCTGTTTGTTGAACACTTTGTTCATCATGCGTTGGTAAGTTGCACCGGCGTTCTTCAGTCCGAAGGGCATTACGTTGTAGTAATAGTTGCCCGAGCTGGTCATGAACGCTGTGCAGCGTTTGTCGCCCAGAGCCATTGGGATTTGATTGTATCCCGAGTAGGCGTCCATGAACGACAAAGTCTTGTAGCCGGCCGAATTGTCGACCAGCATATCAATGTTAGGTAGAGGAAAAGCATCCTTCGGGCAAGCCCGGTTGAGGTCGGTATAGTCAACACACATTCTCCATTTTCCATTATTCTTTTTAACAAGTACAACATTTGACAGCCAGGTGGAGTACCGGGCTTCAGAAATAAAATTTGCCTCTAGGAGGTCTTTTACAGCTTTTTCAGCAGCCTCCGTTTTTTCTGGAGACTGCCTACGCCTACGTTGTACTACGACCTTGGCGGCTGGATCAATGGCGAGGTGATGACAGGCGACCTCAGGGTCGAGTCCGGGCATCTCTGCAGCGCTCCAGGCGAAGAGATCAGCATTCTCGCGCAGACAGGCCTTGATTTGCTTCCTGGCCAAGTCGGGGAGGTCTTTGCCAATCTTCACTCCCTTGGTCGGGTCTGCTCCGAGGGGGACGAGTTCAAAATCGCCGTCCGGAATAGGTCGGAGGGGGATTTGCTCGCTGCTGGATGGCTCGTCTTGGTCGAAGCGGGCGTCGAGGGCTATGGAGTCGACCTTTGGTGGAGCCTTCTGAACTTCTACCTCGGGGGATGCTCTGTCGGGCTCTTGCTTTGTCTTCTTGGTGGGTCTGGTCCCCACGTCGACGGTATCCCGTCCCTTGGAAACGGCGTTGAAGCACCTGCGGGCAGCGGCGAGGTCTCCCTGGATGGTGGCTACCCTTGCCCTTTTGGTATAGAACTTCATTTTTAAATGGACAGTTGAGGGCACCGCTGTCAGCTCCGCCAATGTCGGCCTCCCCAAGATGCAATTGTATAGGGACGGGCAGTCAATGACGAGGAAGCGGACCTTGACCTGTCTTGTAGCCGTTCCTTCCCCGAACGTCACCAGGAGCTCGACATAACCACAAGGTTTGGAAGTCGAGCCGTTGAAGCCTTGAAGATCTGAACCCACATACGGAGAGAGGTGTGAGTCGTCCAGTTGCAAGGTCCGGAACAGCTGGCTGTACATCACGTCGACGGAACTCCCTTCGTCGACCAGGATGCGATGCACGTCAAAATTGGCCATCTTTGCCCTTATCAGCAAGGGGATGACTGCGTTCGGGGCTCCGCCGGGGAGCTCTTCTAAGTAGAAGGTGATGGGTTCTGACCTGCCCTTCACCCTTTCTAACGTCACAGTTTGAGGAGGAGCTGTGTCGACCAGTTCGTCCAACTTCCTCTTGGCTGAATTGATGGTGAGGTCGTTGAACCCGCCCCCGCTGATGACCATGGCGGAGGGGAAGTATTCCCACCTGCTGTGTGTTGTCAGGGGCTCCTGCAGGAGCTCGGGAATTTCGAAATCCTCGGACCTTAGTAATGCTTTTGAGCCTGTCGGGCCCAGTCCAGAACATAAATTAATATCTAATTAAATCTAAATTAATTCTAACATAACTAAGAGATCAATCTCATCTAAAGATACTCGAAAGTCCTCGTGTTTGAAAGTCAAAACTTCATCGAAAACTTTATTGACGAATAAAAAAGTTGAACATTTCTTTTTATAATGTAAGACATTTTTTAAAACTATTTAAGAGTGAATTGAAGAAATATTTAAAAGTGAAATGAAAATATATATATTAAATAGTAGAAATGAATGTCCTATTTAAAAAAAAAAAAAAGCAATATAGAAACTAGGAGGAATGACACACATTCCTAAAATTTACTTGTATACGCCATTGCCATTGACATGATATTAAAGAATGTGCTATAGACAATGGCGCTTATGACCAATTTAGAGTGTATGCACCATGGCAGTGGCGGATTCTCTATGCCAAACTTTTTATTTTATATTTTGTTGAAAAGTGGTTAATTTAAAAATTATTTTGAAACATTTTTTTAAAATTTTAAACATGGTTATTTATGAAAAAAAAATAGATACTTTTTATCCATGTGTATTTGACTGTGAATTACAATACCAACATTGGGAAACAGAAAGAGTAAAAAACAAAAAAATGAAATCAACTGAAAATGAAGATATAGAAACAGCCTATCATAAATGATTTTCTCATCACATCTACCTTGAGGAAAAGGCCAAAATCCATTTGTTTTTAATTTTTTTTAATCTTTTAACTTTGTCAGTGAAAAGCTGTTTCCCTTGCTGATAACATGACTGGAACTTGAATGTGTAATAATAAGTCACAAAATAAGCTAAAATCTACTACTCACTAATTATGCAGGCAGGGCTCACCTGTTGTCAACCTTAATAAAAAGCAAGGAGTTATTATATCTTTATATTGCATTAATTAATTAGTCACTTTTTTTAATGTGTTTTTTCTCCATCTTTCAATGCATGTGAACACTTGTTTTAATCACATACAGTAACTTATATTTGTCCTATAGTTAAAAATTTTAAATGTTTGAAATTGCAGGGAATGAATAGACTAGCATTACAGTAGAAATATCTGTGTTATTGAATATAATATCATGTATTCATTTGTTATCTTTCCTCAATCATTTCAGTATGAAATGTTAAGATTTTTCCTTTGTATAAAACTTTTAAAAATATTTCTGATACTCATGGGATTTGCAACAAAATATAGGCTAATATTTCCTTACTATATTGAATTCACAATAATATTCTTGTCTTGTAGTGATAGGAGTGGGAGTTATGGTGGTAGAATTGGCAAGTAAATAAAAAGGTACACTGTCAAATAAATAATGAAGGTGCACTGTGGAGATTGGTTGTTTTGTCCTGTCTATTAAACTCAGTGTTACCCTTTGGAACAAGTGAATAAGGCTATAAGAACAAACCCAAGTTCCAAATTTGTTGCAAATTCATTTCCCTTTTTGTTTCTTTTGTTATCCTGTGCAAAAAGCTTCCCTATGGAGCCTTCTCAAGATTTAGCATCAGAAGGAGAATTCAGTGGCACTGAGTCTGGATGGACCACTTACATTGGATCTCCTATCCCTAGTGAAATTTACCACGACGAGGGAAGTGTAAACATGGAAGAATATGTCAACAAGTTCAAGAATGCTGATGAAAATTTTCATGATGATGATGATGATGAAAAAAATGATGACAATGAAGAGAGTGATGACGACTCTATGGCATCAGATGCATCTTCTGGTCCATGTTACCTTCAACTTGTATGTATAAAAAGTGAGACAAGTCATGGCCTGCATGTACATGAGGAGAAGTTCCTCTCAACAAAGAAAGCATCCAAACAGGTAAAGAAGACAAACTATGAAGGACTATTCCTTGCCAAAGATGCCGAGTCATTCGTTGTCGCAGACACTGCTTCGAGTCATGTTTGACGTCGAACATGGTAACAAAATTTTCTACTCTTTCTTACCATTTTCTTTTGACACTTAGTTATGACTTTCTAGCACAAGAAACGATTCATCTTTATAGAGAGTGCAAAAATTCATGCATAACAATGCTGTGTCTACTAGTAACGGTGCAACTTGTTACCCGTTTGTATGCTCTTTTTATACAATCTTGGTTATATGTTTAATATAAAAGGAATGTTGAGATGACAAAGAAAAAAGGCACATTTGTTATGAGTTGTAACTCTCTCCAATATTATGGATTGCCATTTTTGCAATAGTTGAAAGTTCAAACCTCTTACATTCTTAATTTGCCAACGGTTAAAGCATGCTTGAATTCAAAGTTAGCAAGTTTTCTAGTTTTATAAGGCATTAATAGATTATCTTGCATAAGTTATGCTCAAATTTTTCTGTTATTTTTGGACAGGTATAGCTGGACTTTGAGCTTGTAAACTTGAAGACGTTGAACATGGCCCATTGAGGAGTGAAGTAAACTAAAATGGCTACGCTATGATTTTAGAAAATTCTACAACAGTGTGTAATGCATTCTACAAAACAATAAGGTGTGCAATAAGAATGTAATACACTATTTGGTATGAACTATTCTTAGATTAATTATTTAATTTTGACATAATTAACTATTAATATATTATACTATGGTCAATCGTAATAAAATATTAATTATCGATGAATTATTTGATTGAATTGACTGTGACATGTTTGACCATTCAATTAAGTTTAATGATTGATCTATGTCTTCAGTAGTTTAATTATTTAAATATTATCTTATTAGACGATTAATATTCACTGAAAAATCTTAAATGACAATAACAATAATAATCCTCTCGTAATATCTCTAACAACAATCTAATCCATATATACCATATTCTTATTATTCTTGATAACTTATTAATTAAATAATATACTATAATTTGTGTCTATCGGGTCTATTTAATTCCTTCAATTAGTATGAGAGTATGGGTAAATACATATTATAGCTATTGAAATATAATTCTGTACACATGAACCCTAATTTATTTGGATCAAACTTAGAATCAATCCATCATGTTGTTTTATCACACTGATCAAATTTGATTAAGGGTTTATGTTTGCTATCCTCTACTCTAAGATGATATTCTACTTTTGGAATGAATGAAAGTTATTTTATACTATTAATGTTCTCATATAAATTATATATAATCATTATTAAGCTGGAAGTATTATAAATACTTCATGTTTCTAACCAATATTATCGTATTCTGTTGATTCTAAAAGGTTTTTCATAAATCCATACTATATTAAATTCTATCAATTTTTATAGCTATTCTATGTATTATTATTCTGCAATTGATTTTAATTTGCGATGTTAATCACTGCATCAAGGTAAATTATTTCAGTTGCATTTTTTTGATGTTGCTTATGTTCTTTTTGAATACAGTAGCATCTATAACTTATTTCTCAATGTCAATTTTTTTAATAATAAAAGATAGTGATGACGATCTTTTGATATCTAATTATGTATATCACGATATAGCATGAATGCTTTGTTACATCGAAACTTTTTTTTATACTAAAATGAGGTATGATATATGATCGATCATATGATAATATATTAAAAATAAAATAATTGATATATATTGATTTGTTTGGAGATGCAAAATTTAGTATCAACAGTATCTTGTGTTGTTGTATCACTAAATTAGTAATCAATTAGACTATCTTTAATCCTAGTATGTAAAATATTTTTATTTGTATGATTTTATCATCCAAGTTGCAAACAAAATGGAATGATTCATACTATTTTGGCTCTTTGCAGCCTACCATTCAATCCTAGACCCTAGGCTCTCCCACAAATTATGCACATTTCCCTATTATTGTGGTGAATGAGATTAAAAGGACTGTGATAGAATTTTTCCATTCAAATAAATAAATAAATGGAAAATTTATTTTATAAACACTTACAATACTAAATCAAGAAACATATGGGAATTACTATTCTTATGTATCACATTATCAGAATTTTAAGAAAATTTAAGTTATATTATTTTTTATTTATGTTGATTTTATAATTAGAGTATTATAGTATTTATAGTATGATATAATGATTTATTCGTGAGTTATTTTTTAATAATATTACAATACTCTATAAATTATTTAAGAGAATTTTTTTTAGAATAACCATGTATTAAAAAAAAAATCATAAAAAATTACATTTCGGAAAAAATTACGCAAATAATCATGTTTCAGATGACTCTCCAAAGGAGGAGCCATCTCACTTGGCACCTCCACCTAGGATTTTGCCCTATGCGCCATCTCACTTGGCGCCTCCTCTCTCTTTTAGCCAAGTGAGATGGCGCATGCACTTTAAAAGTGAGAGGAGACGCCATCTCACTTGGCTCCTATGGCAAAATGCTGTTTTTATAAATAATTCGTCCATTTCTCCGTCATTTCTCACACTTTCTCGCACTGTTTTCTTATTTTTTTACTCTGTTATTTGCGTCATGACATCGCCCATGATTTTTACCAGAGATGGTTACGTTATCTTCTCCGCCACGAAATCTGTGATGAAAATGAAATTCTGGCACATTCACTTCATGGAGCGTCTGAAGCGGGAGTTGATGCGATGGCTAGATGGAGACATTGTGGAGGGGGGGGGGGGGAATTTGAAGGATCCAGCGAAGACGAACAACAACCTCACATGCGACTGGAAGACCTAATGTGTGGTTGGAGGAAGTCAAAACAGACAGCAACGTAATGTTGATGATGCATGGGTCAGATGAAATTGTTTTGATAGTTGTAATTTCGTAGACAGAATATTGTGTTTTATTTCTTGTACGCACAATATTTATTGTAGCAAATACTGTTAACGAAAAACCCTAATGTTTACAACAAAATAAAGAAAAGATTTTATGTATTACAATTTTTATGTGGTCGAGGCAGACGCCCGATTCGGACAATTTTTGTGATTGTGTCCGACCTGACGGCATAAACCACACTTTCTTTCCAGCTTGTCAAGGTCGTCCATTTCGGTTGTGATGCGCTTACTTTTGGGACGACCCTTCTTGTTCCTTCGCATTTTGTCATTGTGCCACACTATTTCGCCGTCGTATGCAGGCCAATAATCTGGTTTTGCTACCAAAGGAAAGTTGTTGTTGTAAACATTGAGCAACGTTTCAGATTTGTAAATGTGTGACAGAAGTTGTAGTGCGTCTTGATGGGTATAAGCACAAGCGGCAATGACATGAGAGCAAGGCATACGAAAGGCTTGAAACTTGCCACAATCGCACCAACGAGAAGGTAGTATAACCCTATATTCTTGTCTTGACAGGCCATCGTTGTGGTCGATTGTCTCTTTCACAATGAAGTTGTGGTTGTGTCGGTCAAACTGTGTAACCATATGAGTGTTTGCTTTGACACTTTCTGCCTTAATGTACTTTATGCAGCTTTCACTACATAGTTGTCCAGATTGCAACACCGCATTCCATATTTCACCTCTTTTAGAAAACAACGAAGCCATCCTAAAATACGTAGATTTTACCAAAGCTGTGATCGGGAGGTTTCGTATGCCTTTGAATACCCCATTCATCGATTCAATAAGATTCTTTGTCATGTGCCCCCATCGTTGGCCATTGTCGTATGACATAGTCCATTTTTCCACCAGAATATTGTCGATCCACCTACCGGCTTCCGAATTTGACAAACGGATCTCGTTGCTGTAATATTTGAACGTGGGTTGTGTCAATACATATCCCGCATTCATAACTGCTTTCCTTTGTTTTTTGTCCTTGATCTCCCTCGTGAAATTTTGGACGATATGCCTAACGCAATAGACATGTGTAGAAGGAGGGTCATGCCAACCGTTTGCAGGATTATTGTAGGCACTTTCAATGGAGGCATGTTTGTCCGAGATCAAACAGAGATCTGGTTGAGGAGCCACGTGTGTTCGCAAGTTTTTCAGAAAAAAGCTCCAAGCACCACCGGTCTCCTCCTCGACTAGGGCAAAGGCAATTGGGAAAATGTTGTTGTTGTCATCTTATGCAACTGCCATCAGTAGCGTGCCTTTGTATTTCCCATACAAGCAAGTCCCATCAATTTGTATAATTGGTTTGCATGATGCAACCCTGTGATGCAAGGTTTAAATGCCCAAAACACTCGACTAAATATTCCGTTTCTGTTTAGTTGACTACCATCTTAGGCGTATGCTGGCACTGTTTCCAGAATGTAAACAGTACCCGGAGAATAAGTCTTGAATGCATTAAGGTAGCGAGGAAGTTCTTGGTATGACTCCTCCCAATTTCCGTACACCTTTTCAATCGCCTTGGTCTTTGCTAACCATGCCTTACGGTAAGACGGAGTATAGTTAAAAACCATGGTGATGTGGGAGATGATGGTTTTCACCTTCAAAGATGGGTCGTTGCTGACCAGTGGTAGGATTTCTTGACAAATGAGATCGTAATTAAGTTTTCGATGGTCCTGTGATTGGGTAGAACTGACACAAGTGTGGGTAGTCATGGAACCTATGACCCAGCAATCACCTCTTAATCTGTATGATGCTGTGAGCTTGAACATACAGTCAGGGTGGACACACTTGATCTTTTACCTTTCTGGGTTGACACGGTCCACCTTAAAATCGACCGAGTTGAGCATGTGGAATTTTTTAATGGCTCTGATGCATTCTTCTCTGTTACGAAACTTGTCCTTCTCTTTTAAGTTTTCATCCGACTGCATATACGGATTGAAAAATAAATCAGAAGACGGTTCATCTCCGCCCATGTTGAAGTTTGTCATGTGCGAAGGTGGTGTGTAGATCTGGTTTGCAGGAATACTAGGTATGCCATCATCGTCAGAATCATCATTCACCATTTCATCAAACTCTAACTCGTCATCTTCTTCTTCATCATCAACTGCATCTACCTCTTCTTGTTCGGTCTCCAAAGGATCAACCACTTGTGTCACCTGAGGCTCTCGCAACATAATGTACAACTCAA